CAGCATTGGGGCTGCTGACGCCGAGCGCGATTATCCCTCCTCCTGCTCCTCCTTCGCCTCGTCCCACTTCTTGCAGGGCGGAGTTAGAGCCTGTTGCCGCTGCTTGTCCCCTTCGCGCGCGCCAGTCCCGGCACTGTATCTGATGACTTTTGCCAGGGAGGTCGAGGCCTGATCCTTGACGTCGTCGTCCTTGTCACCGCCGCAACCACCTCGAGTTCTTGACAATCGTGTCGGTGAGCGTGGACTGGGATACCCTCACGGGCAAGACGTTGCCCTGACGGCCGTGTGCTTGTCGGGCTAGTTCGACGTGGGCGTGTTTCCTTTGCTCCCCTCTCGCGGCCGCGGCGTCTACTAGGCCGCTGCAAGATCCAAACTTCGGAGAGAGTGTCCTCTAGAGTCTTCTGAGTAGGTGTAGCTGTCGGAGCCGAGGACAATTCGGCCTCAGGCGGGGGGTGTGTCACTTCGCGTGATAGGTGTCCCTGGAGCTGTCAAGGGTGGTCCCTCTGTCAGCTGCCCGGGTCGGTCGCTCGGCGCCTGTGCCACCACGAGACCACCGAAGTCGACCTCCGAGGGAGTGGGCGCCTCGGCGGAGTCCTCGTGGCCGTTTGTCCTTCGGCCGATGGCGTTCTTTTTGCTGCGGCAGCAACGGGCGTGCGGCGTGTGGCGCTGGTGGATCGGGGTTGTGTGGCGCTCTGTGGCCGCAACTGCTTCATTATGGGAAGCAGCCCTGTGGCCGTGCCCTTGCCGTTGGGGGTGGGGCCGCCCGGAGGCCGTGGAGGTGGTGGCGGCTCGCCGCTTTCTCAGTCAGCGTCTGCGGGGAGGGGCTGTGGTCACTCCCCCTGGGGACCTAGTGGACGCAAACGTCGCGAATAGTTGTGGCCGTGGCAGTGTGGTCGTGTGTTCTCCTGGTCGCTGCGTCAGGGAGAGGTGCTTCGGCAATAGTTCCTGGTACGGTGCCCTGCTGGACCTTCGCTGTAGCATTTGGCGGTGGTGTGTGGGAACGGGCGAGGGCAAAGTGGGATGCGGTGTCGCCGTTTCAAACCTCGTGGTATACTTCGCCTGTCTTTGAAGGCCGCTCGGCCCTTGCTGGCGTGGGTGATGGCTGCACACTTGTGGCCCATGTCTGTAGTCATGTGGCGGTGTCTTGCAAGCGATGCCTCCGTACCGCGTGCTCGTAAGGCGATGCCTCGGGCGATCTGTGAAGCGCGCGGCGCTCGGATGCCAAGGGGAGGGTGCTAGTTCAGTCGTGTTTCAAAGCGCCGTGCTCTGCCAGCTCTGAAGTTGGTGTGGGCGTCGGCGAGCGTGCCCGCGTCTTTCTCTGTGTGCCACATGGTCCGGTACTGCTCTGGTGTTGGCGTTTTGGCGCCGAGGTTGCTTGTCTCGTGCGTGGCCCCCGTGGACCTTGAGGCCTGTCGCGCCGTGGCTGCGTCTTGCTGCGTGACGCCCCAGGTTGCTGCTAGGCCTCGTTTGCCTCTCCGAGGCCGAATTGCCGGAAGGTTTTGACAGCTGGGGCGTGGTAGTGGTATAGAGCCGGGGAGGTGTCCTCCAGTTCACGGTCGAAGTCAAAGGTGCAAGGTTTTCGTCTTTTTTTGGCTGGCTCGGTACTGCGCCGAGCTACTCCCTTTGTTACCCTGTTGTCTGGGGTCGCTGTTGTTCGGGGCGGCCCCGGAGAACTGATCTTCGAATGGCTTGTGGAGGGCGGGTCTGGTCGCAATGGGATCGGTTTGTTTCGTACAATGTTGAGCGCGCCCAGGCCACGTGAAGTTCGAGGGCGAGCTGGACCTCAGCGACGTCCAGTTTGCATCGGACGTTCTTGGTACCACGCTGAGACATCGTGCCCTCAATGTGGGGGGGTACTGGTTTGGACGCTGTGGTCGTTTTCGCACGGGGATGGCGGAGGCAGTGTCGACGTGACTAGGGTGGATGAGGCGAGGAACGGCGGTGGCCATGGCGACGTCTGGGTGGGAGCCCTGTCCCAGCACTTGTGCAAGTATCTTTTCGCCATCCTCAATATAGTGGCGAGATATACCGTCTTGATCGGTTGTGCCGTCGGTGCCTGTGGTGGGCGCCAAGGTGACCTGCGCAGACCAGTGGTCAGGGTGTAGGCTGACGTATGCTTCTGCTGCGGCTGCAGCCTGTGGGCGTGCAGCTTGGCGGTTGGGGGCGCTCGTGGTACCCTCCTGCTTTGGCGCCATAGGGTCGAAGTGGTCCTGGTGTAGTTGGTGCGGGCAGACGCACGCAAGCGCGCCAGAGTCGGAGCGGCGCTAAGTTTTTTTTTTTTTTTTTTTTTTTTTTTTTGTCGTCGTCGTCGTCGTCGTCGTCGTCGTCGTCGTCGTCGTCGTCGTCGTCGTCGTCGTCGTCGTCGTCGTCGTCGTCGTCGTCGTCGTCGTCGTCGTCGTCGTCGTCGTCGTCGTCGTCGTCGTCGTCGTCGTCGTCGTCGTCGTCGTCGTCGTCGTCGTCGTCGTCGTCGTCGTCGTCGTCGTCGTCGTCGTCGTCGTCG